TGATGTTGATTTTTTTCAGCAACTTATGCAACTTTTACTATAATACTTACACACCATTTACAACAGAGGAGTTAACAAATAATGCTGACTTATGTGACAGCTGCTGCTACCAGATTAAAGAACAAACAAAAGCAAGCTTAACCATTGAAAACTATATATATATAAAATTTAGTTTCATGGGTAGGGTTAGTGTTGAAAGAAATGAAATGACTTTTATTCATAATTATAAAATTAAAAAATATACACTATTCAGCAAATATTTTTTGTTTTTCTTGGTTTTCCCTTATCTGAATTATATCTAAAAAAATTTGTATTTTATCTGAAGAGCTATCTGAATGACAATGACCCTTATCAAAATACAGATAATACTAAAGTAGGGAGAGGGTCATTTATATCTTATCTAGGAATATGTCCCAATTATTCACCATTTAGCCCCATTTTTTTTATACACTTTCTTTGCATATCTCCTTTGAATATTTTTTTTTCTGGTAGCATATTTTAAAAGACCTTTTTAGTATTCAAAACCCTAATCACCCAGCAAAATTTCCAGTCACCCACTATTTTCTATTCAGTTTTCCAACTGGTGGGCAATATCGCTCAGGTTGAGAAATCCTGATTTACAACCAAAATCTTTGAAAATGGTCAATAGATTAGCCAAAAGTGCTCAGAAAAAAACAATCACTTGAATAATTTTTACACATAGTGTGTGTAATGATTGAGTCCAAAAAAAGAAGTCTCTTGTTTGCATACAAGAAAAACAATAAAAACTCAACAGAAGTATCTTGTCACTTATTTTTAATGAAAGATGTTGGAGGAGTCAAACAAAGATTTTGTAGTATCATATACAAATGAGAATGACAACATAAATATAGAGCAGAGGGTGAACAAAGAGCAGGTGTCACTGAACCTGTTTGCTAAATTTAATGTGGAGAACTGTGCTACGATTGATACTACTCAGAGAGAAATAGACAAAATAACAATGGTGTTGCCGATAGGATGCTTGAATGCGCTGGAAGATCCCAAACACATAGACACCTGAATCAGAACATTTGCAGCATTTGCAAGAGTAAAAAAATTGAGAGATTACAAGACCAAAGGAGGAGAAAACGAGATAACAGATTTATTTCTTTCTACTGCTGGGTGTGAAGCTGTGAAGAAATTTTCGACAATGTGTTACCCAAGCGAATTAGAACAAATAACATTTGAAGAAATTGTCAAAGTTATAAAAAAGAACATAAGACCAATGAAAAGATTGGTCATTGCTGAAAGAACCAAGTTTTTAGAGATCAAGACAAGCACCAAATGAGTCCATTATACAATACTTACATAGATTAAAAGAATGTGTTAAGTACTGTGAGTTTGAAAAGTTGGGAACTTGGAAAATGATCATAGAAGATGAATTAATTCTTCTCAGAATAATTGAAGGTTTGCAAGACCAGAACCACAAATGAGAAATACTGGAAGTTGTAACATGGGTTTGGAGGCTAGCGTTGAATTTTTACAACAGTTAGAGTTGATTGAGGAATTTAATCAACTGAAAGAAGAATTCAAGGCACACAGGACGAGCACGACCATGTCTATGATGAAATATAGATACTGTGAGAAAAATCACGAGAGAGACAAGTACAAATGTCCTGCATTAGGAAAAGTATGCTCAAATTGTAAAAAAGAGATCATTTTCAGAACGTATGCAAATACGAAAAGAAAATAGAAAGAATACAAAAAGTACCAACCCCTTCTGAAGAAGAGGCTGAAATATTTACAGTGAATATGCAAAAAAGGAGAGAAAAAATAAATGGCCAAATATTTAACATGCAAGTTTATATGGGCAGTGAAGTCACGCTGATTCCAAAAAATGTTGGGGTCAAATTGGGACGGCTTAAATTAAAAAAAAAAAAACAACATCCAGTTGAAGCAATTTGATGGAACAACTATAAAAATAATGGGTACATTTCAAGGCAATTTTAAAATGGATACGCATTTTGAAATAATTCCCATTACTGTGGTAGAATGCAAAAAATATCATGGATTACTAGGAATTGATGTGTTAAAAGTGGATACGGCAAAATTAATCAATTCCATGGAAGCACAAAATGAAATTGGAGTGTTAAAGGCTATAAAAGAGAACTAAAAGAGAATTATCACCCAAAATATATAGAATCAAGAAAAGTTCCAATTCATATCCTACCTTTGATAGTGGCCAAGTTAAACAAAATGATATAACAAAGCATGAGTGGCTCAAGGTGGTAGCAATTGGGTATCACCAATAGTAGCGATAAAGAAACCTGACGGAGATTTAAGGATTTGTGGTGATTACAAAATAGGGGTAAATCACTAGATATGTTTTGATTCTTTTCCGTTGCCAAATATTGAAACTGTGAGCCATGAGTTAGCAAAAATGGAACACTTTGCAAAAATTGATCTCAAGGCAGCATGAAACCAAATAGAAATTGATGAAAAATTCAAGGAAGTAACTACGATAAACACCCCTATAGGCTTGCTAGGGTGGACGTGTCTACCATTTGGGGTAAAAATGTCGAGTCATGTTTTTCAAAAAGCGATTGAAAGAGTCTTATTAGGAAAAATAAAAAATATGATAATTTTACAGGACGATATGTGTAGGGGCAAGAACTAGAGAAGAATTGAAATATAAAACAGAGCAAATTTTAGTGAGATTGAACAAGGCAGGCATGACTATAAACAAAGACAAATGTAGTTTTGACTGCAAGAAGATATCATATTTAGGATATCATCTGATGAGAGATTAACAAAGAAAATAAAAGAAATAGTTTCTCCAACAAATAAAAAGGAGTTAATATCCTTTTTGGGGCTGATAAATTTTTATAGTAAATATATTCTAAGATACAGCAATGTAATAGAGCCATTTGCAAAATTATGCAACAAAAATAGTGAATTTAACTGGACACAAGAGCAAACTATCACTTTTGAAACAGTAAAGAAAATACTGAAGAGCCCCAATAATAAAAGTTTTTAATCCACAAAAAGAAGTAACATTAACAACAGATGCAAGTGAAAAGGTGATTGCTGCTATCGTATCACAAAAAGAACACCCAATCATGTACATATCAAGAAGGTTAATGCCAGCTGAGATTAACTACTCAAATATTAAAAAAGAAGCATTGGTGATTATGTAGAGCATGGAAAGGGCACAAAAGTTTTTGGTAGGAAAGAAATTCTTATTAAAATTAGACCACAAACCATTGGAATTTATATTTAACCCAAGGAAAGAATTGCCAAAAGTAACATCGTCAAGGATTTTGAGGTGAGTGATAAAGATCATGGCATTCAATTTTGACATAATATATGTTAAAGGGAACACTATCCCTCACGTAGATGCATTATCAAGATTGCATTTCAAGAATGAAACTGAAGAAAAACAGAAAAAGGCAGAAGACAAAATAATACACTAGGTTGAAACAGACGTTCTTCCTCTAAATAGACTCAAAATAGAGCAAGACCTATAGTAAGCAGAATAGTGGAGAGAATAAGAAATAATGTATGGAGCAATTGTTCGATGGCAGGTAGCCCTTTAAAAAAATGAAGCACAAACTGACAGTAGAAAATGGTATAATATGCAATGGAGATATAATTGTAACTCTACAAACACTGAGAAGAGACATATTAAAAGGAGTGCATGATGACGTGCATTGTGGCATAATAGCGATGCAAAAAAGACTAAAGTTACAAGCCTGGTGGCCAGGGTATACAAAAGATGTAGAGGAGTAGATTAAAAGATGCTGAAAATGTGCTGAAATAAAAAATTTCAAGGAAAAAAATTCACTCATGGCCCAAGGAAGCAGAGCCATGGGTTAGGGTCCACATGGATCACGCACATATCAAAGATAGGGGATTGTTCTTAGTATGAGTGGAGTCATATTCAGGATGGCCAGAGGTTGTCAGAGTAAAAGACAGAAAAACCACCACAATGAAACAAGTACTAAGGATGATATTCTCAAGGAATGGAGTACCCCAGACACTAGTCACTGACAATGCACCTGAATTTTGTGATGAGAATTTATGTACATGGTTGAAACAGATAGGATGTATCCCATACAATACAACACTGTATCATCCACAATCTAATGGCATTGCGGAAAGAATGGTACAAACAATAAAAATGGGGTTAAAAGCATTCTCAGCACTTACTAAAAGTCTAGAAGTGTATTTACCGAAAGTGCTTCTCAGTTATAGATCCATTCCACATGCAAGAAGAAAGCTGAGCTCTTCAGCATTAATAGGCAGACAAATCAGAGCCCTTTCAATAAAAGAAAAGGTATGGTATAGAAAGAATAAGGAGGCTGAGCCAGAACAAGTAAATTTCCTGATACAAAAAGGACACAACACGGCTATACTAGAGAAAAAGGGACAAAATATAATAGCACATGCGGATCAATTCAAAAGCAGAAATGAATTGGATGATGTGGAAATGGAAGAGCAAGAGCAAGAAGAGACAGAAAGTCACAAAAATGGAACAGAGCAGGAAATGGAAGATAGTGAGAGTGAAAAGACAGATGAGAATGAAGAAGAAAATGAAGACCAAGTTCACCATTAAGAAAAAGAAAAGAAAGAAAAGAGGAAGGAGAGTACAGTACGAAAGTAATCATAAATAGTAGTAGAAGAAACAAGGGTGTCCGGCCTTTTCGGTTCAGGGAGGTGTAGTATCATATGCAAATGAGAATGACAACATAAATAGAGAGCAGAGGGTGAACAAAGGGCAGTTGTCAGCGAACCTGTTTGCTAAATGTAACGTGGAGAACTGTGCTACGATTGCTACTACTCAGAGAGAAATAGACAACAGTTTTAAAATGCTGTGTATGCTGGTATGTTAGCTTTTTATATTTATTATTAATTTCCATTTTTTTTAAATTTTATTTTAATTCATAATTTTAGTGTAGTTTATCCTCAATGATTTTCATAAACCTCTTATCTATTGATTGATATCAAATTTCTTTCAGTCAGTGAAACTTGTTCTTTTGCAGGTTCGAAGTTCTCTTATTATAGAGTTTCATTTCAAAGCTCAAGATCTTCAAGTATGGGTTGATTCTTGGCCAGAATTCACCACAGTTCTACTCATAAAACTTTTACCAGATGAAGTAAGTATTCTAATTTCAAAATACAATCTTATTTAAGCAGGAGGAAATGGTCATGTCATCTGCATAAATACATAGTTAAGAACTCAGGGAGATCATTAAAGAAGATCAGAAACAGTGTACATCCAAGAATAAAGCCCTGGGGTACCTCTGTGTTAGTATGAAATGATCTGGAAGCATGTTCATTCAATACAACCTTCATTATTCAATTGGCTAGAAATGGTTGGATTAATGGTTAAATTAATCCAAATATATGCCCCGTGATGCAGTAGCCATTGAGCTTGCATAGAAGGCCAGCATTTCAAACCCTGTGGAACACCCTTGAGATATCTAGAGACACCACCCAAGCTTCTCCATTCTTATCTAAATCTTAATAGGTAACTTCAGAGATGACTGTTAACACATTAGTGGTAGACATGGTAAAACAGAAGCCATCCTTTTTTTCCTGTTTTGAGTAGTATATTAGAATTATTATCATTAAATTAGTATTATTATTATTACTATTATTTGTTCCTGTTTTAATGTGCATGTTACACTAGTAATTATGTTGCATTGTTTTATTTTTGATTAATTTAAGAAATATTTGTCCACTGCTAGCTGCGTTAATATTTTGGAATAGCAACCTGACTGGTCATCCTTTGTGTCAGATGAATCTTTGAAAGAGAGGAGAACTGAGGGAGAGAGTGAGATAGTGTGGAGAGGAGGGAAAGTGAAGAGGACTGTAAATTTGTTGATAAGAATATACAGTCAACGACAAAATTATTCATACACCCATCAATTTTGAACATTTGTATCCATTTCTCGGAATCTAATGCTTGTATGATGCCAGTTTTCCATATGTTAATAGGCACAAAAATAGGAATATCCTTATTCCTGACTAGTTCTGTAGGAGTAACCAGAAGCTTACAGTCAACATTTCTGTAACTCAACTCCTGTCAACTGTGAACAGCTTCCTTGACCCTATTGAAGAAAAGATTTCCCATAGAATGATGCTGTCATTAAAATGTTTCATAGTGAGGATGGTGTGCTCAGGGCAATGTGCAGTGTTAGATTTCTACTACACATAGCATTTTGCATTAAGGCCAAAATGTTCAATTTTGGTCTCGTATGACCAAAGCACATTGTTTACTGTATCTCGCTTATGGCAAACTGCAAATGGGACTTATTGCCACTTTTCCATAAAGACCAGATTTGTAGAGTGTGTGACTAATAATTGACCTGCAGACAGAGTCTCCCACCTGAGCTGTGGATCTTTGCAGTTCCTCCAGAGTTACCATGGACACCTTGGTTGCTTTTCTGATTAATGCTATCCTGGCATATTGGTCTAGATGAACGGCTTTTTCTTGGTAGGTTTGTAGTTGTGCTATACACTACATTTTCAGATGATGGATTTAATAGTGCTTGGTGAAATGTTCAAAACATGAGGTATTTTTTTTATAACCTAAACCAGTTTTATACTTCACCACAACTTTATCCATGATCTTTATGGTCTTCATAATGTTGTTTGTTTGGTAATATTTCCTAACAATCCTGAAGCAGCCTTCAAAGAAAAGTTGAAATCTTCATAATCAGGTGAACTATTTACTAATTACAGGATTTCTGAAAGCAGTTGTTTTTACTTAAGGGTCTCACAGTAAATCATGGAGTGATTTGTATATAATTTTGAAAACCTTGTAATACTTTCCCCACTTCATAATGATGCACTATTTTTGGATCAGTTCATTATACAAAACACCAATGAAATATATTTAAATTTGTAGTTGTAATGTTAAAAATTGTGGAAAAGTTCAAAGTGGAATGAATATGCAAGAGATCGTATATACCTTGACCAAATCAATTTTTGTACATTAATATTAATAATTCCAATTGAAAATTTCTTTTTCTTTTCTTTTAGAAATATATTCACCAACTCTGTTACATCTTCTCTTCAGATGAAGAAAAACTAAAAGAATTGTTGAAGACACCAAATCTTATTTTATGGGGTCACGTAATATTTATAGGTAAAGTATAACAAAGAAGAATGAAACTTTAAAAATATTGAAAATCCATAAAAAAACTGTTTCAGAATTTCTACATGTTATTTTTTTTTCCATTTGAAGCAGTTATTTTTATTATTTTTAAATATGAAAGCAGTCTTAACATTAAGATTTTCTTTTAAAAACATATGTTGGTGGTTTTATTACTATTTTCCAGCAAATGTATTGCTCTTTGGTTTTTGTCTTAGATAGTGAATCATCATAGATTTTTAGACATTAACTCACTTTTAATTGCAATCGGTTGTTAACTGGGGCAAGAATTGGCTGGTCAACTTTAACGCCTCAAAAACTAAACTACTCTCCATTAACCACCATAGAGATCCTTCCCTGCCCCCCCATTAAAATGTCTGAGTCAACTTCCTGAGAGCAACTCCCTGCGTCTGCTTGGTCTCACGTTGACTGCTGACCTGAGATGGAACAAATACATTGAGTCAATTGCTTCTTCCACCGTGAGGAAAGTTTGGCTCTCTATGCCGTGCCAGGAAATTTTTCTCCCCTGAATTGATACTTCAAATATACAAAACAACCATTCGCCCTTGCATGGAGTATTTCTGCCATATATGGTCTGGGGCACCTTCTGCTTACCTCTGAGTTCTTGACAAGATCCAGAGACGGATATGTAATCTAATTGGCCCTGATCTGACGTCTCGTCTGCAGTCACTCTCTTACAGACGCATCGTCACCTCTGTCTTTTCTACAAATACTTTCATGGTAATTGCTCCGATGAGCTGCTTTCACTGGTTCCCAGACTCCATGAATTCAAGCGCCCTATGAGGCTGGCATCGCGCTCCCACCCTTACACTATAGAAATTTTTAAATGTAGCCGTCTTTTCTACTCCAATAGCTTCATACCTCGCACCTCTCGCCTGTGGAACATCCTTCCCAATTACTGTTTCCCTGAAAGCTATAATCTCCAACTATTCAAATGTAATGTCAATCGACACCTCCAGTTACCTTGATCTACCCACTATCCTTCTCCTCATCCTTTCTTCTATCACTCCTATCTGCTCTCGCTCCAAATCCTCTGCAACCCCCTGCATCCTAGTGGCTTCACGCCTTGCTCGGGGCGTAATGTTTAAAAAAAAAAAAAAATAGCCTATATCAGTTTTGTTTTAATATATTCAGTATATATTGTAAATCTGTAAGGTTTAATTCATGCCGTAGAAAATCTTTTTATTACTTAATTTTATTACTTAGTGCTAGGAAATGACTAAGTTTAGATAACAGATTTTTTTTCAGAATATATATTTTTTTATATTTAACACACAAAATTACATTGGAAAAATAAAACATCTTCCCACAGTCTCTGAGGTGACTCATTTACAAAGGAAGTCACAAAGACTATAAATAGCTACAGCTATTACCCATGAGGCAGTTGAGTGTATACTACTACCCATGACTCAGTAACACTACACTATAATGGCATCACCGATATCTAAAGAACCCAGCAAACAATTATCACTAGATATTTATGAATATGCGCAGGTGTGGCTTAGGATACTAGCCCATTTGCTCCCACTTGACGGAACTTGTTCAAGTCAAGAGGGAGCAAATGGGCCTCCTTGTTAGTAATTTTAAGAAAGAAGGATGAGGATCTGCACATTTGTGGTGACTATAAAATAGGTATAGACAACAAAATATTTGCAGACTTATATCCTATCCCCAATGTAGAATAAGCTTTGAACTTCCTTGCAAGAAAGAAAACATTCTCTAAAATTGATCTAAAGTTGGCATACCATCAAATTCCTATTGATGAAAATTTTATAGAAATCATTACAATAAACACGCCAATAGACTTATTAAGATGGAAAAGAATGCTGTATGGAATTAAAACTGCAAGTGCAATTTTTTCAAAGGGCTTTAAGAGTAAGTTATTGGTAGTGATATAAAAAATACAATATTCTACCAGGATGAATAAAACCAACATATGTTTTTAAAAGATAATCTTAAACTGCTTTCAGATTTTTGTGTTGGTGCTATTAATGACAAAGAACTAAAATGAAAAACCAGCATGGTTTTGAATAAGTTAAAAAAATGCAGGATGAACAATTAAAAAAAAAAAAAAAAATGTGTGCCTAACACTAAAAAATATTATTTTGGGGATATTCCATATCTAAGAAAGGCATATCATCAGACCAATTGTTAATTGACAAAGTATTAAAAGTTGAAATGCCTAAGAACAAAAACGAATTGGAATCTTTCTTAGGACTTGTAAATTTCTACAGACTATAAGTAGAGTGATACTTCGAATTGACAGAACCTTTTGCTGCTTAAAAAAAAAAAAAGAATGTGGCATTTGAAAATTTAAAAGCTGTTCTGGCAAAGAAGCCAGTAGTAAAAATATTTGACCTTAGAAAGGAAATAGTAGTAAAAACTAGCACAAGTGAACACTCAATTTTGGGAATATTAGCTCAGGATGATCATCCTATTATGTATCTTTTGAGAAAATTGTCAAAAACCAAATTGAACTACTCAAATATTCAGAAAGAAGTGTTGGCCATAATATGGATGACAAATAGAGCTTGTCAGTTTTTGATTGGAAAGAAATTTCTACTAAGTTCCAAGCATAGACTTTTAGAATTCTTATTTAATCTTAGGAAGGAACTTTCTAAGGTAATGTCTTCTAGAATTCTAAGATGGGCTATAATATTAATGGCATTTGGTTTTGATATTGAGTACATGAAAGGCAATACCATTCCATAGGCAGACATGTCAAGTTTGAGATTTATTACTTTTGAAAGTGAGAAAGAAGAGGAAAAATTTGAAGATACTTTTTACACTGGCTCAAAACTGATATTTTGTCAATAAACAAATTAACCGAGGATACAAAGCTAGATCCCATATTGAACATTATATTGTTCAGGATAAAAAATAATAAGTGGAATAATTGTTCACAGGCAGAAATGTGTTTTAAAGGGGTTAAACACAAGTTAACTGTAGAAAAGGGTGTAATTTGTAATGGAGATGTATTGTTTCCACCAGCAATGCAAAGGAGCAAAATAATAAAATGTATACATGACGATGTTCATTGCAGTTTATGCAAAAGGGATTAAGGCTAGAGGCATGGTGGCCAGGCTATTCTGCTGATGTAGAAAAATACATAAAAAGGTGTAAAATGTGAAATGAAATAAGAAAATTTAGACAGACAAAAACATATACATGGCCTAAAGAGTCCCAACCATGGGACAGAGGACACATGGACTAAGCCCATGTTAATGGAGTGGGATTATTACTGATACCAGTAGATACATATTCAGGTTGGCCAGAAGTAATACAGGTCTCCACCAAAAGAAGTTCAACCATTAGAGCCTGATTGATCATGTCTTATGTCACCAATAAAAAACTGTGGTATCAAAAGAATACTGAATCTAATCTACAAGAGGCAAGATTCATAATGCAAAGTGGACAGAATACTATGATACTAGATAAAAATGAAAATGGGATATTAGCACAGCAATGAAGAAATGTATAGTGAGCCTGAAAGTAATGAAGGCAAAAGTGTCATGTCAAGGCAAGACAAACTAGAAAGTGAAATCGAGAGTAATATAGACTTTGAAGATGAACAAGGACAATCATTGGAAGAACACTCCTATGGAAAAAGAAGATCAAGATCTCCCATATCTAGACAATCTTTTAGAGAGGAGGAGGATGGTAAAGAGAGAAAAGGTCCCAGAAGAAGTACCAGATAAAATAAAGAGATAAAACCATTTCAGTACATGGAGATGAGGTGACTCATTTACATATGAAGTCACAAAGACTATAAATAGCCACAACTATTACTCATGAGGCAGTAACACTACACTACAGTATATCAGTTTTCAGAAACAAAGGAAATAAAATCAAAGTAATCATTTTCAAAATCAATTATGACGTCCCACAATGATATCAGATTTTTAAAACAGTCTTGACAAGGCAATGAATAAATTTGTTAAGGAGAATCTTGTGTCTTCATCTTCCAGACAAAAACTTTAAAATTATTTTTCTATTCTCCTGAATTATATCCATTTAAAATCTTTCATATTTTATATTGAATTAATAACTAAAAATTATTGGCTGATAAGTAAATATTATTCAAAAAAATCATTATCATTTTTTATTTTTGAATCTTTTCTTTTTATTATTTTTATGAATCATTTCATTTATACTAACTTCACTGTATAAAGTTTCCTACAATTAAATTCTTCAAAAAGAAGATAGTTTCATGCAAAATACAAAACAATATTTCAGTTTATATTTATCTTCTTATACAAGAATATTTTCTTTTCAAGCTTGCCCAATAAAATTTAAGGCTATTCTACAAGAGTTTGCCGAGATATATGGATGCGCTTTGACATTTCCAAACTATACATTCCAGCTACATGCTTTGAACAGAATGAAAAGTAAACCTTGGTAAGTCATATCGTCTTGTTTTCTTTCTTTACTTCAATTTAACTTAAAACAATAGTATCTCTTAAGTGAAAGATGATTATGCTTAAATTATCAGAGACAATCTCTGGTTTGGAGCAAATAAACAAAATTAATATGTAGCATGAAAGGCAAACATGCTTTTTGTAATAAGTTATGTTCGTAGCTGATGTCCAGCACCATGAACTTTGATAACTTTAAAACTACAATTTAAATCTAGGTCATACAAGGACATATTTTCGGTGAAAAAGCATTTAATATCTTGGACTTGGCTTTTAAATACATTATTCAAGCAGTCATGCACCAAAGTTACTTTAAAAAAAAACTCCAAGAGAATGAAATACTGGCTCAGTAATCATTTTTTTTCAAATAACCAATACTGTGAAAACAATGTAAAATGTAAATCAGTTCATTAATAGTAATAGTAAACTTGGTTTTTAAATACAGTTCATTAATAGTATTCAAACACATATTTGTACATATTAGAATTTGTTCAATTCAATACTACTAATAACAATTAGGAGTAACCACATATTAATCCCTGCTATCTATGTGTTTTGCAATTGTAAGTGACCCTCATTGTTCATGTATGCACAAACATTGTTGTTGCTATAAGCAAGAAGTACAAAACTATTAAATATGGCACAGGCATGTATTTTTTTTCTTTTGCATCATGAAATGTAGGTCCAAAAAGTTTGAGATCAAACTAAAAAAAAAGAAGGAAAACAACATCAAGTTGATTTGATTTTCATTTTGCTTGGAAGTGACTCTGATATTCAGAATTCAAAGTAGTTTTCATTGAATTCAGAATGTACAAGATTTCAAATAACGACTGAAAAATTTTGACTGGAATGCAAGGAATTAGGATAAAGTTATTACTAGATGGCACTCCCATTGTATGTTTACAAACTGAAGATGAATCAGTTTCAAAGTTTTTGTTAGAATTTCTGTATGATTTTAAGGAAAGACTTTCTGAATTCAGTGGGAAGCTGACTGAAGATGCAGTTCCAGAGCAAACTCCAATGAAAAGAATTCCATTTGCTTTAGAAAAATAATTCAAGCATGATTTATACAAAATGATCAGATGCCAATATTGAGAATCCTGTTCATGGGTAAATAACTATGTAACTGAAGAGAAATCCAGTGAAATATTGTAATTTCTAATCTCCTATATAGCAGAGAATGTTGAATAATCTCTCAGATGTTGAGTTTTAAAGCAACAGAGATGTGGTTCTACTGAGAAATACTAAAAATACCATGGAAAGAACACGTGAGCTACAAGGAAGTTTTGAGAAAAATAGAAATTACAAGGAAACTACTACTTAGAATTAAAAAGAGATGGCTAAAATTTTGGGGACCACATCACAAGGAAACAGAGCTCGGAAAATTTAACATTCACAGGACATACTGAAGATGAGAAAAGGGGAAAATGGTGGATTATCTACTTAACAAGTTTGCATGAATGAATGAATAAATGACAAGAACAAATTTTGGTGGAAAAGAGTCAAAGATTACTTAGAGCAACAGCAGACAGGGCGTTATGGAGAGCTATGATTATGGATGTCCAGAAAGGACATTGTACATAAGAGAAAGAGAGTGAGCCTCAGGTTTTGAAATCAACATTTCTTTACAATTTTTTGTTTGTGGTTATTGAATAACTCACAATTCATACATATTTCTGGTCTCATTCCAAGTCAAATATATATCATCTATATGACATGTCACATGTTGTTATCAATACAACAGTAAAATGGCTCTTATATGCTTTCATTTTTAGCTCATGCCTCATTTGAAGCAGGCATAAACATGTGATTTTTTTTATATAACATTAGTCCACCTTTTTATGATACTTAATCAATAAACTCAATCATGGATTTGGATTTTTATTGTTCCTTGGAATTCCTTCTTTTAATCAACATAATCCTACAAAAAAACTTCATCTCTTGTCGTGTAAACTAAATCGTCTTTAGTTTGCACATATTACAGCAGATTTTTTTTTTTACTATTGTTCATCCAATACAAGGCTCAAGAACCACTCAAGGTAGAGGGTTGCTAAATGAGCACCCAAAGAGAGAACAAAAGGTACATATTATGAGGATATGCAGGATAGTTGTATAACAGTTTAGCCTCAACTTGAAGATATTAAGATTGTAGTGATTGGGGAAGCATCATCTCAAGAGTTCATTTCACAATGTAACAAATCTGGAGAATAATCTGTCTTAGTGGAGCTTCCTCCTCACCAATGGAATATGAAGGAAGCAAGGATTAATCGACTCAGTATACGTGAACTGGTGGGTCCTAGATGTGAAGGTATGGACTGTTAAGACCAAGGAATGTAGTTTGCTAAACATCTCCCATGAAAATAGTGATTGTGTAGTGAGGGGCTAGCAATAGTCTGTGGGAAAACAGTTGAAGGTGGAATACAGTTCATCACCCACAAGGCTGTCCAAATGCTTATTTGAAATTGTTCCTTCATTGGAGCTTGTGACAAAATATTTGCAATTATTACTTCACTGTTTCTGTTGTAGACAATATTAGGGTCAATTTTCTAAATTGAAAGCAACAAAGACTTTTGATTCTATCAACCTGATATCTGGCTCCTCTGCTATGTATCTTCCATTACAGTAATCACTGAATTGATGCAATCTAAAAACAATGGCTTTCATTTCCCTTTCAGTAGGAGCATGATTATTTTGACAATTATCTCAAATGAGGGAAGCAAATGAGACAGCCTTCTTGTCCTGCACGAAGATTTCATCAACTGATATGTCAGAAATATATGTCTGAATATTAACTGCATTGTTCAGATCAGAAGTTAAAACATATACATTAATAATGGCTTTCTTTATGCTATCAAACATGTACATTAATAACGGCTTTCTTTATCTATCAAACATGTACATTAATAACGGCTTTCTTTATCTATCAAACATGTACATTAATAACGGCTTTCTTTATCTATCAAACATGTACATTAATAACGGCTTTCTTTATCTATAAAACATGTACATTAATTCTGTTAATTAACCTCTGTTAATTCCCCTCTGAAAGTTCTCCCCTGCCTTAACTGGGTATTGAACTCACACTGTTTGGATCCTGTCACTGGATCTAACCAATGCCTTTATCCACTGTGCCATGTGTCCTTACTGGGAGATAACTGATAACTGACATCCAATAAAAACATGTAAATAGTGTACATAATACCTCATCTCAGAAATATAAACAGATACTAATAAAAATTAGCTATCCTCCTCTTGCAATTTTAGAATATCTAAATACACCAGCAAATGGGATGTCAGAATCAAGTACAGAAATTTAAATATCTGTAAAGTATTTGAACAGATGACTGATAATGTGATACCAAAATCTGAAGGCATGTTTGAAAGCATAAGATGCCTTCCAAAAGCAAAACAAAATATTAAAAAACAGGAAAATTTTCTTAAAAAGAAAACAGTACTGAAATGTGATGTAATATCAATCATCTTATATGAGTGAATACTGGATATTTTCTTCACAGATGAAGAGGAGACATGACCCAACAGAGATTAAATAAATTATAAAATGTAACAGATTTTTTTGTCCTTTCCAGTCATTCATCACAAAACAAAAGTTTCAGTCCTGTTTTTTAAATAAAAATATTAAACATTGTCAAATTCATTGGAATTTATAAATTTCTTTGTGTATTCATGATTTTCAAACATTAAATTGTCCTAATGTAATCAAAAGAAATTTATTTAAATGCTAAGAATATTTTAGAACAGGTCAATGTTAAATTGCTTGAATAGTTAACATGTCTAGTTTTCTTAAGTAGACAGTTTCAGATTTAGGAAAGAAGTTTCAGATTTTTAATTCTGACCTAAACTGTTGTTGTTCTGTGCCAATTATTTTGATATGAAGAATTTTTTAAATATCGAAAAGAAGTGAAAATAGAATAAAGTTCAATATAATCCAAAGTATGTATTGGTTTAACTAACAACCTGCTCAGAGTTATACAATTGATACAATTCAAATGTGTATAAATGTATAGTAATAGCAAATAAGTGATAAGATTAAAATAGATTCACTGATCTATGAGTCCACAAATGACACATAAACTTAACAATATAAGATATGCAGATGATACAGTACTGATAGCAGACACGGAAAAGAAATTACAAAACCTCCTACAGAAGGTAGCAAGGGAGAGTGAGAAGAAGGGACGAAGCATAAACTACAAGAAGGCAGAAGGCATGGTCATCAGTAAAAGGACGAGCCTGAAATGTGATCTGCAGGTCAGGGAAACTAAAATCAAGCAGGTGTGGAAGTGTTTTGATAGAGGACGGTAAGTGCAACACTGAGATCCAAAGACATATTGGGATGGCCAAGAACTTATTCCAAAAGCTAGGCAGAGTATTGTGAGAGGAGGATTTCTTTGGTAACAAAGAAAAAAGTACTGAGCTGCTACGTGACATCTGTCCTCCTTTACAACAGCAAATGTTGGACAGTCTCCTCAAAGATGAAGAGAAGACTAGAGACAATGGAGGTATGGTTCTACAGAAGGATACTAAGGATATCATGGACTGAGCATGTGAGCAACAATAAGATTTTGGAGAGGATGTAAACAAGGAGGAAGCTTATACTTAACATCAGGAAGAGGTAGATGAAATTTCTGGGACATGTAATGAGAAAGAAGTGCTTGGAGAATCTGATATTCATAGGTTGAATAGAGGGAAAGAGAGACAAGGGAAAGCAATGCATGACATACCTGACAGGCTTAAGCAAGTGGATGACAGAACATGGTCTGGGGGAGGTGACAGAGGAATGAAACTTATTGAGAGGTACAAGGGATAGGGGGAAGTGGAGAGCCATAATCAACTATGTCCAGAAGGGACACAGCACATAAAAAGAAAAGATCTAGGAGTTGTTTCTACATAAAATTTATAGAAACAAGACAAAAGTTCAAATCTTCTTGGAAGTAACTTTCTTCTGAACTTTTGCAGCTGAATTTTATCATTCATTTCCCCGTTCATGATCTTATGGAAAATTTGTATAGTGAAGAAAATGGCAACTTACCTCGTCAAACCAAGCAACAGTGTGTCACATATATCCTACGATGAAAAATGTGGCGAAAAAGAAAATTATTCAGCAAAAATATGGGCACGTATTCTGCATGACATGCTGAAGACAGAATATGTAAATTAAAAACAAGTCTGTCGCAGGAGTCGCTGTAAAAGTATTTTGTTATGCAAAAATTGAGCGTCCTCTCCCAGTTGTCGACAAATGGAAAAAATGCTTGGCCGATAAAAGCAGTTGGTGTTCTCGAATTAGGGACGAAAAATGATGTATTTTGGCTACCATATTCGTCGGAGAGTGAGTTATTTTTCTGGCTGGTTACATGCATTGTGATTTGTTCTGTGTTGTGGAAATAATCTGCAACAAATATTTCCTTTGCTTTTAGAATGCCTACAAGTTCCTAGGAACCAACAGCCAGACAGATATGATACACCAGTATATATGATTTGATTATAGTGGTGAAGGCTTTGTGTATAACCGAGCACACTTTTTGAAGGACTGAATACAGTGACCTTATGCACTACGTGCCACAAGGTCCCCAAACCACCCTCTGCAGGTTTTGAATTCAGAGTTGTCCTTCTCCTAGACCAGTTGCCATCCAAGGCTATAAAAGACAGTCTGTACTGCTATTTAACCATAGCTGGAGAGAGAATAGGATTAATACCTTTCCCAAGGGTATTAGCATGTAAGTGAATGTAATGGATTCGACTGGAAATCGAACTTGGCTCTCTGATTCCTCAGTCGAAACTGCTATTGACTACTCCACCATGCCTTCTTTTACCTAACCAAACTCTATAATATAGGATTATCAAATGTACGTAGGGTGGTTGTATAGATGACTAGCAGTAGAGCCCGGCATTGCCCGGGGATGTAACAGTAAGAGATAGATCAAGTATCGACCATCATAAAGACTGAAAAATAAAATTGACAAAGATTATTGTTTAAGGTTGACGGACACGCATGTCTTAATTAGTTGTTTTTTTTTTACAAATTGGTGAAACCCAAACTCAAACATTGTTTTCAATCGTTATGAGTCTACCGATTGAATAGAATTTTATTATAAACAATTGTCTTGTAAATGGAATTTTTAAAGCATTCTGAATGCAAAAATGATGAAAAAAGTGTGCAAGACAATAAGAAACACTACCTGCCAAATAAAAAAAAAAAAAAAAGTGAAGTTTTGTTGAAATCAGTTGAAAAATGTAGGAAATCCGATCCCATATATAAATGAACACACACACACATACACACACACAACCTGGGTTTTATAATAAGTATAAATCGATAACTCGATATTAATAAGTATAACTCGATATGAGTTGTCCCCCTTTCATTAATGTCACTTAATTGTGTTTTCAAATTGATTTCATGCAAAAACAATTGGGTTTTTCTAATTTTGGGCGCTGTCAGAACCACCGCAAGGTAATTTTACGTAGTCCTGTGAAGTTTTGTTGAAATCGGTTGAAAAATGTAGGAAATCTGATCCAATATATAAATGTACCGACACACACACAACCTGGGTTTTATAATAAGTATCATTAATGATAGTACCTCAGAAACTCACACATTCAGCAGTTTGTGTTAATCTTTTTCATAATTATTTGTTATATTTCAATTTAATTCATTTTTTTTTCTCTTTGACCAGGAAAGTCCCTGAAGAAGTCACTGTATCTAGTCTAACCCCTGATCAAGCTGAAGCAGTGTTCAACAACTGGGAGTTTAGCAGCTCTGAAAACAAAGAGGATGAATTAAAAAACATAAAAATGCTTATAGAGTCATATCCCACTCTGTGCCTTTTTAACTCTGAAGGAAGGCTTATCGCATATGCCATTGGGCAAATGTATGGTGGAATGGGAATGTTGCATGTTGAACCTGAATACAGGAATCGTGGTTATGGAAAAACAGTTATGTATCTTCTTTCTCAAAAATACTCTGATGTTGGCTATCCTGCTTTTTGTCTCACTAGCCCAAGAAAATACAATTTCAAACAAAATACATAATTATTTGGGATTTGAACCAACTGGCTGTTTCATTAATTGGTATACTCTAAAAGTTAAAGGAAAATAATGTTCCATGATGAGAAAATAAATGGTTATATCTGAATAGAACCACTTATTTCTAAAGATAAAATGATCCTATATGCATGATCAGATTTGTAACCTGCCAAATAGCTTTGTTTGTATAATCTATAATTAAATAAAATATTGCTTTTTCATTTTTCAATTAATTTCAAATTTCTTATTTTAAAAGAATGAAATTGTTTTCCATGAAGAAAGCTTAACTCTTTTGCACTTTTTAAACTTATAAAAATATGTTTGAATGATTAAAATATTTACTGAAGTAAATGAATATAGCACATATTCCTCCAAGTTTAGAAAAAGAGAAAGAAAAACTGATAGAATTATTTGAATAAAACTTTGAAAAAAATAAAAAAGAAAAAAAAAGAATTCTATTTTTGTTATTACTTTTCCTTTTTGGTGATAAGAATTATGATTAACAGAATATATTTCCTTAAAATCAACATCAGTTAAAATTTATTTTTAAAATTTTGCATCTGTATAAATTTTAACATCACATTCCCCAAATTGTAATGCACAATTTTAAAATTATACAAATATTAAAATCACTCAAGTTAAAATTGCTTTCAAAGTAAATCTACATGGCAAAATATCTTAAGGCATTCTTTTTTAAACTCTACTATTCAAGTTATATATCTACAATTTGCTTAGCTTTGTAAATTGGTACAAGACCAAATTTACTATTAATACCACCAAACACTCTTTGAGAGGAGCAAAGTACTTTCAACCATTAATTAAAATGCATATATTTAAGTAGTTTATATGTTATATCATATAACTGGGACAACTGCTTTATTAAGATGAATTGTTCAATATATGAGAGAGAATGTAAGCAAATAGATAACAATATCTTACTCAAAATTGACATGTAAAAATGATAAATTCATTAATGATTACTGAATTTGCAATAAAAATACAAGGGAGATAATCACACACCAACTTTTTAATGTTTGTTTGCAGAGAAATCATAAGCTTTGAAAAGGAGGCAAACAGCTGATCAATCCAAATGTAAAATGTGCTTATGTCAAATTAGAAATTCCACTTTTAACCATGACCAAAGTTATTACACAATTCCCTTATAGAAATAAAAATGTCAGTCAAGTCAATGTGGAACATCAAAAAAATTTTGAATAATGAGATTGAAACAGAGAAAAGAAAAAAAAAATCCAATGAACACAACAGGATAGAATTCATCATGTGGATTTTTCTGGAAGAGTTGCCAGCATCTTATTCCAGACAACATTCAACTTAGAAAATAATAAAGACTTGAAATAGTAAAGAGACCATTGGCATTTTGGTGGACTTTCTTTTTTTCAGATTAAGTATTGTTTGCTTAATTTTTTGAATAACAAATCAGACTTGAACATCTTCCAAAGCATGTCATTAAGGTATAAATATCCTTTGTCACTTTTTCCAGAAAGATAATTATAAAAAATTTCTGCAATTTTGCCATTAGTAAAACTAATGCCATTTTTTAAAATTCTATTTAAAACAGAAATATCCTGATAGTAAACAATTCTGTAATTCAGTTACTCTTATCTACAAAACTGAAACATATTAATAAAATTATACTATCTGTGTATGGGAAAAGCATGTGGACAAAATGTGAATTATACTGGAATTTTAAAAAAAAGGAAAAAAAAAGATCCTTGATGATATTTTATATATATATACATATATATTAATAACTTTATTTTTTAAATACTGATATCAAGTGACACATTAATCTAATAATAAAAAAATAATAAAGTTCAGGTTGATGCTATATGCATGATCAAATTTGTAACCTGCCAAATAGCTTTGTTTGTATAATCTGATGTATAATCTATAATTAAATAAAATGCTGCTTTTTCATTTTTCAATTACTTTCAAATTTCTTATTTTAAAAGAATTAATGAAATTGTTTTCTCTGAAAAAAGCTTAACTCTTTTGCACTTTTTAAACTTAGAAAAAATGTTTGAATGATTAAAATATTTAGCGAAGTAAATGAATATAGCACACATTCCTCCAAGTGAAAGATGAATTTATTTTACTTTAGAAAGACAGGAAGAAGAGAAAGAAAAAGTGAAAGAGCAAAGTACACTTATGACCATGTCGCTGCTGTGCTCTTTGACAGTTTACGGTGTGCGAAAACCGGTTTGCTCGATAAGGTTGCATTTCAACTTTTTCCCCTTTAATACCAATTTGGAAGGTATTTCACTTACTGGGAAAAAGTTAAAAAGAAGTGAAATATGTGTGATCCCCCAGTTACGGGCCGCATGAAAAATCCAACAAATCCACTAACGCCAGGTATCGTATCGTCGAAGGCCACGTTCTCCCTACTCAAGCGACGGAAACCATTCTTTTAAAATGGATTAAGCAAGAAATTCCGCACAATCTGATATCTATTTTATGAGGGTTCCTTAGAGGGGGAAAAGTTGAAATGCAACCTTATCGAGCAATTTCTCGACTCATGCATGTCTGGAAGGATTTCTTTTTCCTTAAAATCAGTTTTGCTATATTTCACTCATTGTTAGCTTATTTTGCTTACTCTAAAACATTGAAAATAAATTCAGTTCTTTTATTTTAATCTAAATATAGCCCCTCATATCCGGACTTTATAACCTCATATCCGGAAGGCCTTCTTCGTCTGGTTGTCAGGGATTCTACTGTATTTAACATTTAATATGATATCCGAGTTTGATGTTTTTTTTATCTTCTTTCTGCACTTCCGGGTATAGATGGTGCTCAATCCATACAAATATTTATGTAGGAATCCAAAGACAAAACAAATTATCAATCAAATCAAAAATATTTTGGCCCTTTGTTGTTGTTTGGAGTTGCCCTAAGATTTGTTATGAATTGTTCTACGATTTCTTCTTTACAAACAAATCTTTATTCCCCATGTGCTCTCAGGACGTAGATAATCATGGCCCTCCACACTTCCCTATCTTTTACTGTTCTCAATATATAGGGTGTCCAAAAAAATTTGACATCATTTCATAATTTTGGCAGTTCTTGTTGAAATAAAATTTGCACCACAAATTTTCATAGAATGTACAGAAACAGATCAAGATTTTATATTTAATGTTTTATTTTTGTTATCTCAATGAGAATCTGCCAGAGAGATGGATCGGGCATGATGGAGATGAAGACAGTTTTCTGATGAAATGTCTGCCGCAGTCACCGGACCTGTCCCCATGTGATTTCTTTTTATGGGGATATGTGAAGGGACTGGTCTATGTCCTCACCTTCCTGTTAGCATTGATGAACCAATTTTGCACTGGATAATGTTACCCTAGACATGCTACAGCATGTTTGGCAAGAGGCAGTGCACATATTGAACACTTATGAAATCTGTCCCATAATAAACTTATGATGTTCAACACCTAAACTGTTCAATTTCATTGAGCTAGATTTAGTAGTTTTCAAGATAATTGCTTTTAAAATGAAGTCAAATTTTTTGGGACACCCTGTATTTTGTCTTTTCATTATTTCACCTAAAACCCTGTTCTGCCATCTATTTACTTAATCTCATCAGTTATGTTACACATAGTTCCCCTCTGTCCCTATTGCCCTCAATCTGTCATCTGAATATCAAGCCCCAGAAATTTTAACTGTCTCTTCGTGATGTTAAGTTTCTTTTTTGTTTCCATTTTCTCCAAAGCCATATCGTTGCTTATATGTTTGCTCCATGGTTACTGTATGGTGTTATGGGGTTTCAGGGTTAGAATGAACACTTAATTTACCCATACCAAGAGGATCAATGAAGGAAGGTAATGACATGGAAAGACACAGGTAATTTTAACAAAACAAGATAAGGAATTTATTTACAACTTTGTATCTCAGGAAAATGAATCAGAAATTTTTAAAGTCCGTAGTTTTAACAAATTGTTATGAAGACGAAATGTTCATACAACAGATTAAATAATCTGACACAAAATAACATTCACAAATGTTTAAAACAAAAGGTAAGGAATTTTGTTGCTCACAGAAGGGACATATGGTTTGCATACATTCAAAAGTAGATGAAGAAAGATAATTTGAAATACTTAACTTTCTTAAATTGTCGAAAGAAAATTCTTTGAAGTAATGCGTGCTTGGATAAAGGCCGATAATAGTGAGAAATTTTACACTGGCAAAAACTTCAATGTTGGTCATGAGGAACTGAAATGAAAACTTCACATGACTTCAAATACTCTTCTCTTATTGATTTAATCTTTCTCCTCATTTTATATCAAAAGGAATTTCACAGACTATTTTATTTTCTTTCTTCTTGGTTTACTGGCTAATTTCTGTAAAGACCAAGTTTACATTGCTCCAAAAGCAATTTCGCATGGGCTTGCAAATTTATTTTGCTCTCCTTTTCGGGTCACTGGCCAATCTCTGTGAAGGCAAGGTTTTCATTGGTCCAAAGAGAATTTCACATAGGCTCATAAATTCAGTCCCATTATTTTCCTCAGTCCTCCAGATTTGTAGAGAGTAGGTAAAGAGAGTTATTATTTTGCACTCACTACAACTGAATGCTAAAAGTTGGGGGTTTATCAATAATATCAGTAGTAGATTTGTGGGAAAATTAAATAAAAATTGAGAAATAAAATAATAATGAATAATAATAAAAAAGAAATACATTTTCTCATGCTAAGAGTAAAGGGAAATATGATTACCACATTTGATTTTGCCAAACCTTGTTAGATGGCATTGTTAAAACATTTTCTGCTTCACTCTTTTCTCCAAAATGTGAACCACGTGGAAATTATGTCCCTATTGGGGAATGTTAGGTTCCCCCAGTCCACTGATGATTGAACTCTCATCCCACTTTCTGACACATGATACTTGCACATGTCTTCCAAAAATCTCCTATGTTGTAGGTTAAACTTTCACCTTGGTGGTCTCAACTCAATGCAAGGCTGACTTGAGTGTGACCATAGTAATGATGCTTG